TTCCAAACTAAACAAACCCAATTCTTTCAGCCTTCTTCATAGGTCATGTTCTCAAGACCTTTCATCATTCTTGTTGCTCTTCTCTGGACCCTCTCCAATTTCTCCACATCTTTCTTGAAGTGCAGTGCCCAGAACTGGACACAATACTCCAGTTGAGGCCTAACCAGCGCAGAGTAGAGCGGAAGAATGACTTCTCGTGTCTTGCTCACAACACACCAGTCCGGAAGTTAGCCCAGCATCCTGGTACCACTACAAGTTCCCAAGGCAGCTGCCCCGTGCCTGGAAGGGCATGACAAAGGAGACGCCCCTGTGCAATTAATCCGAGAGCTGCCGACAAGGGGATAATCAGCATCAAGGGAGACAATGGTCTTTATGGGAGAGACGCCTGCCTGCTAGGACACTGACAGGCACCCATCAAATCATCCCCTACAGACCTCCAGCAGCTCCCCCAGCCATCGGCTTTAAATCCCTGCTGAGCTGTATTTGAACCCCTGGTGACCTAGAGGTGAAAGGTCGCTTAGGGCATGTCTGCACTGTAATTAAATACCCACAGCTGGGCAGGCCCCTGTCAGCTGACTCAGGCTGTGGGACATTCTGGTTCGGGCTGGAGCCCGGGCCCTGGGACCATGCGATGGGGGAAGAGTCTCAGGGCGCAAGCTGACCCGGGCCAGGCACGGGGGTTGAATCGCAGGGTATGTCTACACTACAGGATTAATCCGAATTTAGATAATTCGAATTTGGGAAACAGGTTGTATAAATTCGATTGTGCGCGGCCACACTAAGCACCTTAATTCGTTTTTTAACCACATTAATTCGGTGGTGTGCGGCCACACTACCCCATTAACTTAAACACAGTAATTCGGTGGTGTGCGGCCACACTAACCCTAATTCGAATTAACAAAATCGATTTAGGCGCTACTCCGCTCGTCGAGGTGGAGTACAGAAATCGATTTTAAGTGCCCTTTAATTCGAATTAACTGGCTCTGTAGTGTGGACGGGTGAAGGGTTAATTCGGATTAACGCAGCTAAATCCGAATTAAAGTCGTAGTGTAGACCAGGCCGCAGTGTAGCCACCCCCCGGGTCTCTTAGCGATCCTCCGAGCCAGCCAGTCCCACTGCCCCACTGGCGGGAAATGCGTGGACCAGACCATCCTTGGGTGGGGACTTCGACGGCCATGTGCCCAGCCTGGAGCGAATGTTCGCAGACGAGTTACCCGCCTTTCAGAAGCGAGGTACCTAGCACACGCTGTCACGGGGGGGTGGGGAGGAAGCACCCGGCCGCAGGGAGGTTTATCTGCCCCAGGCGGATGCTACTCTTAAGGGCCCCTCTGGATCAATAAACCTGCCTTCCCCAATGGGATATTACACAGAACCTCCAATGTGTCTCTAGTGGTGAGAGCCGGGGGCTGGGAGTCGGGACTCTGGGGCAACCCCAGCTCATGTGGGCTGCTGGTTACCGCAGGGGGCTGGGAGTCGGGACTCCTGAATTTCATCCCTGGCTCTGCCCCCAGTTCAGTGTATGACGCTGCACAAGTCATTGGGCCGCTCTCATTTCCCCATCTGTTTGATGCAGCGGTTTGCAGCCTTTTTTCATTTGCAGCCCCCTAACAAAGTTTGAGAGGAGGTACGGATCCGGATGTAAATCTTAGGCACGGTCTGTGCGGACCAGAGGTTGCAAACCACTATGGGAACAACAACCTTTTGCAGACCTATTAGAAAGACTCTGCAGATCCGCAGGGGTCCGCAGACCACAGGTTGAAAACCACGGGTTTAATGGATATAATTAGGCTTGGAAGGATTCGATTCTTATCGGTAAATGTCAATTTCACGGCAGACACGCCCAATATTTCCATTGCTAATCATCAAAGTGTACAGCGAGGCAAAGTAGGGAAAACGCGGCTTGAGAACGGATTCGCGTTTCATTTACTTCGGATGTTTCGACGTGGGACGCCGACCAGGTGTGTAGGGATGGTTATAGAGCTTTCACTTTTTGAATCTCAACATTAAATCATCACCGTCCGACCCCACCCCCTAATTTCCCGTAACTGAACATTTAAATGAATAAAAATTAAAAATGCATAAAAAAATCGATATCCATCAAATGATAACAAAAAAAAAGATTGAATTGTGCAAAGCCCAGAGGCAGGGATTAGGAGATGTAATGCTGTCATGTTTATGAAGGATGTCAAACTCCTCCAAGAGAAGTTCCTCTTAGCCGGCCAAAGTGGCCAATTCTTTTATCGGATGAAAGGGCCTTCTGGTTAATATCTGGGAAGCCCTCCAAGGCCTTGAGGGGCAAGACTGACCAGGCTCACAGATCTGGCTGCACCACAAGGAACACAAATAAGATGGGCGTAGAATAAAACACCCCCAAACTCCCTAGACATGCGAGGCTCAATTCATTGTTGCCCATTGCCCCAGCGAGGGTGGTACCAAGGGGCTCTGAGGTAGAAGGGGGGGCCCTGGACCCCATTACACCCAGGTACAGAGGAAGACTCTGCCAGTTTAGAAGTGAGCCGGGGGGGGATTCCGGGGCCGTTCCAGGTGGGTGGAAGCGTGGCCAGGGTTGACCTGTGCTCCCGTGATTCGACAGCCCTGAAAAGCCCCTAGGAGCCCCCTGGAGCAGGGATAGAAGTTAGGCCCAGGGCTGTGCAGGCCTGAGTGTAGGGCAGGGCCAAATTCCTTCCCCGCTGTCCCTGCCCCACTGCAGGCTCCTTGGCGTTATCAGAAGGGAAGCGTCTAATGCCACGTGGGGTCTGCGTTGCTCCCATCACCGTTACCAGGAGGCACGCTAATGGGAGGCGCGACCTTTCGATGCCTATGGATTTTCAGTCCCCAGGAAGAGCAGTCAGGAGGCAGAAAGAGACCGAAAATTACAGCCCAGTGGCTCATCCGTCTGCTTTGGCAGCGATTCATATCGATCTCGGACAGCTCCCTTAGTGTCAAAGTGGTTCGCAAATGGAGCCGCTTCATCCGCCACTGAAATGCAGCCACCTCTGGGGTGGGGGCGCGGCCGCTGTTTGAAACAGCAGCACGGCTAGCCCAGCCCAGCCGTTTAAGATGGGAAGTGAAGAATACTAGATCCAGCGGAAAGCTGCAGCGCGCATGTAAGGGAGCGGAATGCTGTTTGCTCAAGGATTGAACCAGGACCCTGCGGCTAGCCTCCTTGACTGCCATGGAAATCCCCAGGGGATCTCGAATGCAACAGAGAGGCTCAGGCCCCTGGTTTTGTGTCCGTACCTCCAGCAGCAGTGACCAGAGCCCCCAGCGGGGGCGTTGGGGTCAGTACAGACTTGGGGGTGCGGGAGAGCGCCCCCTGCTGAATCACCACTACCTGCAGCACCTGGGATCTCTCTCCTCCAGCTAACTGCTTTGGGGAAGGAACAAGTTCCCAGCCTGGGGAGGTGGGAGCCCAAAGCCAATGTCAAATAATGGATCTGGGGAGGGGTCTGATGGCTCCGAGAGGCAATTGTCCTTCCCTTCCAGAGGCACTTCCATTATTGTCCTGCAAACTAATCCCCCAACACACACTCACATCTAGGAGAGCCTCCTTCCAGCCATAAGAACACAAGGGTGTTAGAGACACACACACACCCCGTGGGTTCTGAGACAGAGGCCAGAGCATTAGCCAGGGTCCACTCCAGGGGCAACGGGTCAATTTCAGTTCAAGCAGAGAGGGGAAGGGTGCACATGTGGGGGAGGGGAGAGGTCTGTCCATTTTAGCCCTGGATCCAATGCCTCAAAAGGGCAGAAAAATCTAAACCAGCATGGGCCTAGTGCTCCGGTCTAATGAGGAAAGAAAAGGCTCGTGGAAAGGAGGGAAAGAAGAAGAGAGAGGGGAAAGGAAGTGTGTGTGTGTGTGTGTGTGTTGGGGGGAGGGGGAAGACAGAGAGAGAGGGAAGTGGGATTCTGGAGGAAGAAAGAGGGGAGAGGAGAAAAGAGGGAAGAAATCAGGGTCTATGGAGGAGAGCAGAAAGCCTGTAAAAGAGGAGAAGGAGAGCGAGCGAGAAGGGATGCGCGGGGCTGCCAGGGAATGAAGGGCAGAATGGAGGCAGGGTGGACGTAGCGAGTCCCAGGGATAAAACAAACCAAGGTGAGAAGGTGGGAAACAGCCAGGGACCCTGCCCAGGGCCGGCGCAGCAGGGACCTGCCAAAGGCCTAACTCTCCCAACCCAGCCCAGGAGGCAGCCAATCCCACTGAACCCGAACCAGCCTGGGAACCCAGCCAGGCGTGTGGGGCTGCAGACCCCCTAGCACGGCCCCATCGAGGGAAGGACACTGCTTCAGCCAGCTGGCTGTGGGGCAGGCTCCCCCTACCCTGGAGAAATACAGCCCCACCAGACCCCAGAGGGGAGAGGCAGGCGGCTGCTGAACGCTGGGTGGGGTTTTTTTTTATTATGGTTATTAATTTATTGATCGAAAACAGGAGGGGGAGGGCGGCTTATTAATGTTTAAAGCGTTGCTAGCCTGGTGCTGGGAGGGGGGTTTTAATAACCCAGGGTGGGTTCAAACCTGGGGGTTGGACTCGACCCAGCACAGCTAACAGCATGGGCATTTATCTCTCTAACCAACCCCCCACCCCACTCCGTCTTTCAGAGAGGTTGATAAACACCCCAAGTTGAAGACACTTTCCACCATCATAACCCCCCCTTCTCCCCCCTCCCCGCCCCCCCCCATCGCTCCGTTTCCACCCCGAGCGGACCGTCAGGAAAACACCAAATATGCCGTTCTCCTCCCCCCATGGTTGCATCAAAACAGGCGAGGGAGTGGGGCGGGGGGGGGCTATTTGGATCGGGACTGCAGCCTTAAAGCCGCTGCGATCCACGCAGCCTCGAGGCAGGCAGGGCTGGAAATAAATAAACAAACAAACAAGGAGCCCCCCCCCAAAAAAACCCACCAACAACAACCACCACCACCCAGCCGGCAGCCGAGAAGGAAAGCCCGGCCCTGAAACTGACACGAGATGCTGATGGGCAAGGCTGAAATTGACACACACTCACCGACGGCACCCTGGCATCCTTAGCCGCGTCCGATTGCGTCCATGCTGGGCTCCAGAGGCATCTCTTCTGGCTCCCCCCTCCCACGCCCCTTTCTCTCCCCCCCCCCGCCCCCTCCCCTCTTATTTGGATCCAACAAGCTTTCAAAAATTCAAGGAGGGAGCGGAGAGGATCAAGGAGGCAGCGGGAGTATCCGGAGAGGTCTGCAAGGGGGAGGTTCTGCAGAGAGACATTTCATACTGACCTCTGGATTCTCCAGGCTGGGATGGTCCCAGGGACTGGAGGGAGGGGAGGGGAAGGGGGGGGAGGGAAAGGCAAAGGGAGGGGGGGATTCACAGGAACCCGGAAGCAGCTCAGGCCGCCTGGCTTGAAGTCAGGGAAGCAGGATGCAGCCTTGGCCGGATCTCCCAGCTGCTGGCTTGGCTTGGCTGGGAGCGGTGGTGATGCAGTGCTGAGCTGGCCCCGTGTAGCCATTCCCTGGGGCGGGCAGATCCAGAAAGACGGGGAGGGGGGAAGCAGATGCGAGGAGAGAGGCAGGGAATGAGAAATCCCAGGCTCACCGAGGTTTAAAGGGTTTCCAGAGCGCCTTGCAGCCCGGCTCCCCCAGCTCGGCTCCTTTATGTCGGCACCGAAACGAAGCCTGATTTTCAGAGGTGCTGACCACCCGCGGGGCAAGGGGAGACGTGATGCTCAGCACCGCGGAAGAAATCAGGCTGGTTCAATGGGGACTTGAGCGACTGACTTTATGCACCGGGGTTTGAGCAGTCTGGCCTAGACACAATTGCAGCACCCGGCTCTGAACTGCAGCCACCTCTGGCTTGGAGCACAGAAGCCAGCGTTCTGCAACAGTGGAAGGCGGCGACTCTTTCTTAAATCCACTGGGGGGACATCCTTGATCCCACAACAAAGAAACCCTGTGGGATCTTTGCTGCCCAGGCGGAGCAGAGAAGGGCCTTAGGGTCTCATCTGAAAGAGAGTCCCACTCATCTGCCCACTACTCCAGTATACTTGTGTGATTCCATTTGAGACCTGATTTTCCAGGGCTGCCAACCCACTGTGTTCCCTGGATCACAAAGGTTTTGAAAGGCAGGTCAGGGGGTCCCTAGATGGGTTGGGGGAGCAGATGGGCGGTGTCATTCTGGGCATGGGCAGTGACCGCACTGGCTGGCGTGGCACAAGGGTGCGGCGGGTAAGGTGATGATCTGGGACTTGTGAGACCTGGGTGCGCATCCTGATTCTGCTTGGTCAATTGGCTTCTCCGTGCCTCAGTTTCCCCACTGTCTGCCTCGTTTGGAAGATCCTTGGAGCAGGGAATGTCTCTAAGCGTTTGCCAAGCACTTAGCCCACAGAGGCCCATGCTGGGGGGGCACAGGATAGAAATAACATTAGAGACCTGGACCTTGCCAGGACTCCCCCAAATCTCCATTGACGTAACCGCCCCTCGGAGGGGAATGATCCTCCCCGCCCCCTTTGCATGGGGAGGAAGGGGAGAGGCGGATGAAGCTCTCCCGAGAGTTGCAATGGCTGGTGGTGCTGAATGGACAGCTCCCTGGAGCCTGGCTTGTGAGGGGGAAGGAGGCTCCTGCCTGGGCGAGCTTGGGGTGGGGGAGAGAACCTGGGGGGAGAAAACTGGCTCCTTCCCAGGACAGACGGATTCAGCTGGAAGGAGTCGGGTCTGGGGCGATTTCATTAACCACAGGAGGCCACTGGGTCAACGAGCAAGGCCAAGGCTGAGGCTGGAACCGCTCTGCTCCTTGTCACGTTCTTCACTTGGATGCAGAAGAGTCCGTTTAGTGTTAGGGGCAAGAAAGGCCCAGAGCCGGCCCCATCCTGGGGGGAGAGATGAGCCGGGCCCATCCTGGGGGGAAGAGAGACCCAGAGA